AAAAAAAAAAAAAAAAGAAAATTACAAAAATTAGCTGGGCGTGTTGGCATGTGCTTGTAGTCCCAGCTACTCAGGAGGCTGAGGCAGGAGAATCACTTGAACCCTGGAGGTGGAGGTTGCAGTGAGCTGAGATGGCACCACTGCACTCCAGCCTGGGGAACAGAGCAAGACTGCATCTCAAACACACACACACACACACACACGCACGATATTAACAAACGCAGTCGGCAGTGGAGTCTAGGTTGCTGGTTTGTGTTTCCCTTTCTAACCCCACCTTCTGTAGCTAGATGTCTAAAATGAGCAGAAGAAATAATGCTACGACCTGGAGAATTTGAGTGCTCGCTCAGATGCCCGCTTGGAAAGCAGAGCGTTGCTAACGCAGCAGCTGGTGTGTCCTGTGCAGGCTTCTCATCTTGCCCATTCGCTTCCTTTGCCCAGGTGGTCACTATATCTACCTTGAGACTGACAAATTCTCCCGGGCAGGGCAGTCAGTCAGACTGGTGAGCCGGCCCTTCTGCGCCCCGGGTGACATCTGTGTGGATTTCGCATACCACATGTATGGCCTTGGGGAGGGTACTACGCTCAAGCTCCTCCTGGGAAGTCCTGCAGGGAGCCCCCCATTTCCTCTCTGGAAATGCGTGGGGTCCCAGAGCCCTTATTGGCAGAATACCTCTGTCACCATCCCTTCAGGACATCAACAGCCCATGCAGGTGAGAGATGGAGACGGGGGCCCTGACTGTGTGGAGTAGGGGGCAATGACGGGTCTGGGGGTACCACCAGGGCTGAAGAGGTAGGAAGCTGGAAAGAGAGCCGAGAAAAGGGCAACTTCATATTATGGAAAACGAGAAAAGGGGTTGGAACGGGGCTGGACCGTTGAGGCTGGAGAGGACAGACTCTATGCCCAGCGCAGTCACAGAGTTGCTGGAGATTCATTTTTGTTTCTCTCTCCATCTCTCTCCCTTGTTGCCTTCAGCTGATTTTTAAGGCCATCCGGGGCAGCAACACAGCCTTTGTGGTTGCTCTGGGTTTCATCTTGATCAATCCTGGGACTTGTCCAGGTAAGCCCAAAGCCAAGGCTCCAGGAAGGAGGCTGTACCCTGAGATCACCATTCCCCAGGGTTCTCTCTATGATCTGCTTAAAATGCAAGTCCTCCCTGGAGCCTGAAAGCCTGAATTCTCATCCAGCTGGCCTTGTTTTCCATCTTCTTCTTTTTTATTACTATTTTTATTTTGAGATGGAGTCTCACTCTGTTGCCAGGCTAGTGTGTGCAGTGGCCGAATCTCAGCTCATTGCAACCTCTGCCTCCTGGGTTCAAGCGATTTCTCCTGCCTCAGCCTCCCGATAGCTGGGACTGCAGACATGCACCACCACGCCCAGCTAATTTTTATGTTTTTAGTAGAGGGGGGTTTCACCATGTTGGCCAGGATGGTCTTAAACTCCTGACCTCGTGATCCGCCCTCCTCGGCCTCCCAAGGTGCATGGATTACAGGTGTGAGCACCGCAGCTGGCCTGTTTTCTGTCTTCTACCTACCTGTCCCTTCTCCATATTTTGGGATGTTTGCCTGGGTGAATGTGGCTCGGATACCATGGATTTTGGGGGCTCATCCAGAACCCCTTTCCCTGCAATCTCAAAGGCAGGACCCATATCCTATTCATTTCTGGGTTTCTCTTACCTGCTACAATATCTGACATATATTAGTGTTTGTTGAATGAATAAAGGTTGGGGGTTGGAAGTAGAAAGAGGGGTGTGAATAAATCACCCCTTGGAGCCTACCCACTCCAATTAGATGGCAGTGAAGAGGATGGTGGATGGTTTTGGCTAAACTCCAGGGATTCTTTATTCTTTGCAGTAAAAGTGCTACCAGTGCTTCCTCCTACATCTCCAGCTTCTTCTGCTGTCCCTTCTGAAACCACTGGCCTCACAGAAAACCCTACAATCTCCACACAAAAACCTACAGTTTCCACAGAAAAGCCCACAGTCCCCAAAGAAAACCCCACCATTCCCACGGAAAAACCTAGCATCCCTACTGAAGAGCCCTCTATCCCTACTGAAAAGCCCATCATTTCCACAGAAAAGCCCACTGTCCCCACAGAAGAGCCCAACACCCCCACTGAGGAGACCACCATCTCCACAGAAGAACCTGCCATCCCCACAGAGAAACCCAGTGTTCCCACAGAAAAACCCACCATCCCCACTGAAGAAGCCACCACCTCCATTGAAGAGACCACCATCTCCACCGAAGAGCCCGCCACCCCCACGGAAAAACCCACCATCCCCACAGAAAAACCCATCATCTCCACGGAAAAACCCATCATCCCCACTGAAGAAACCACCATCCCCACTGAAGAGACCACTGTCCCCACTGAAAAACCAACTGTCCCCACTGAAATACCTACCATTCCCACTGAGACAACCACCGTCCCCACAGAAAATCTGACTGTTCCCACTGTACAGCCCACCACTCCCACTGAAGAGACCACCACCTCCATAGAAGAGTCCACCATCCCCACTGAAGAGACCACTGTCCCCACAGAAAAACCCACCATCCCCACTGAAGAGACCACCGTCTCCACAGAAAAACCCACCATCCCCACTGAAGAGACCACCGTCCCCACAGAAAAACCCACCATCCCCACTGAAATACCTACCATTCCCACTGAGACAACCACCGTCCCCACAGAAAAACCGACCATCCACACTGAAGAGACCACCGTCCCCACAGAAAAACCCACCATCCACACTGAAGAGACCACCGTCCCCACAGAAAAACCCACCATCCCCACTGAAGAGACCACCGTCCCCACTGAAGAGACCACCATCCCCACTGAAGAGACCACCGTCCCCACTGAAGAGACCACCATCCCCACTGAAGAGACCACCATCCCCACTGAAGAGACCACCATTCCCACTGAAGAGACCACCATCCCCACTGAAGAGACCACCATTCCCACTGAAGAGACCACCGTCCCCACTGAAAAACCCACCATCCCCACTGAAGAGACCGCCATCCCCACTGAAAAACCCACCATCCCCACTGAAGAGACCGCC